CGGGGTCATTTATCTTATAACATGTCTTTCATGCGGAGACACATACATTGGCGAAGCAGGGCGCCCACTTTGCTGTCGCGTAAAAGAGCATGTAGATGGTTTGGAAAAGCTAAGAGCAGCTACGCCGCTAGGAAAACACCGCATAGTACGTCATAGCAATTCTAAGGTGCAAGTTGCAGTAAGAATCTTGTCGTATGAACCCGAGATCCTCGCCCGCGAAACATTAGAGGCGTTTTGGATTAATGCCAAAAATCCAAAATTGAATAGAAAGGAAGAGTGTATTGCCATCACGCAGGAACTCGCGCCTTATCAGTCCCTATGCGGATTTGAATATGAGGTCAGGTCATCACGGCACATATAAAAGAGCTGAGGCGTAGTGTTGTATATAGGTGGTCTTCTGACTTCCGCTTCCTGTTATCTAAGGTTAGTATGGTTTGATTCTGACGGTGTTTTCTCATTTGCTTTCTTTCGAAGAGTACTCTGATGAGTCTTTTCTTGTCGTCTGAAGGAATGGGTTGCTTATGATTTCGACTTCCAGGCTCTGAAGAACGCGAAAGCGCCGAAACATTAGCCGTCAATAAAGAACTGTAACAATCTTGGAGCAACGCTCACACACCGTTTCCAGAACATGCAAAAACATACATTAAGAAAGGTTTAGGAGAGAAGAAAATACAACTAGGCACAGGGAAACCTCTATGAAAAACGACAATTTTGAGTGTGCTTACAAAGTTTTCGTAAACGTGCCAGCTGTTTGTGCATTTGCGGCATCATTCATACTGTCTGTAGGCACGAGAATTTTACAAAAAAAATGTGACAGAAATTAACCGCCAACTCAATATATAGGCTGTACCAACCAGCATCGGTCCCCGCTAGTGTGCATTGCGACGACTCACTGTCGCATGCGACGTGTTGTGTGTAGTAGATTCCGCACTGTCGCTAGTTGCCGCATGCGCAATGTCGCATAACCGATGCTGATTTATACAGCCTATATATGGGCGCTGCAAAAGTTTTTTTTTCGCTTTTTGGACTCCTGTAAATTCGTAGACTAAAGATGAAGAAACTCTCTAAGCGTATCTCAAAATTCCTTTCTCTTTTCCAGCAGCTATGTTCGCGATGCGATATCCTTGACAAACGCTGAGAAATTGCTGTTTACAACGTCTAATTTTTTTAAATTCGCAGATTTTCAGAATTTTTATTCGAGGTCTCTAAAGTGCTCTGATAGCCAGCTAGTAGGGTAAACTTTTTGCAAATTGTTGCGAATTTTTGTTTTCCTTTAGCCTGCTATTTATTTGATGCCTATTTATCCCAAAGTCTTAAGTTATGATAGAACCACAAAAGAAAAAATTACACCAAATAACTCGAAATCTTCATAATGATTATTCCACAACTTAATTATTACTACCATCAACCTTATAGAGTAAATGTAGATGTGTGTATCGCTTGAAAACGTGAATATTTTGCAGTTAAGGGTATAACAGTGGATACTCGCTAGGAAATTTGGCGATTTTGCCTGCAGATCTCGCATGTATTGCAAGTAAAAGATCACTGTTATTAAGAGGAGAAAAAGTTGCATTGAATGGAACCTGAACTGTTTACCATTTTATGTTCTGCGAGATTTAGATGGGCCTATGAATTTGGTCACTATACAAAATACATTTTAGCAATTCTAAAGGGCTAGCTAGAGAAAAACAAAAAATCGGTTCAATCAAAAGGTTTGCCTTAACAGCTGGCTATTAAAATCCAAAAATGGAAAGAACTTCAGCACCGACCTGATACGCCACTTAGTAAAATTTCGTAGTCTTCAGAGAACTGACTTGAGCTTGTATCGTCTTCTGCTCTAAGTAAAGATCGGTGAAAGTGTAATTATTGAGAGCAAAAAATGGGATAAACTAGAAATTGGATGGGTTTTTACCAATAATTTGCCGTTGTTCAAAGTGGAGTTGCTAATTTGGAGTCCAGGAGAGAGTGCTTTGTATTGAGTATAAAAAGAGGTGGCTAACTCACTTTTGAAACGAAGTTGACCATGTTTAAAAATGACCATTTCTAGCAGATGACTGAGTATTTTGAGAATTTGAAGCTGAAATTTTTCAACGGAAGTAGTTTAACATGATTACGAAAGGTACTCATTAACTTTGGTAGAGCCTTTTTCTTAACTTACAAGGAAATGGTAAGAAAGGAAGTGGCCAATTCAGACAAGCTGCACACCATTAACTGCAGCATAAATCGCTGACTTCAACTCTATATTCCATATTTGCTTAGCGCATTGTTGCCGAAGTTATAAGCTTGAAGGCCATAATTTGCTAAAAAAATAATGCATGCAATTCGCAAGTTTGGCAGTACGCAGCCATGTTCGGTTTAATGATGGGCCAAATCATGCAGCTAGGTTACGTTAACTTAACTTCAACTGCTCATAATTTTTCTATTTTTTAAGTCTGAAGGTGAGCTGAAAGTGCAACAATGTGCTCAATTTCGCAACTTTTATTACGATTTTTTTGCAATAAAGCAGCCGCAGCTTTTAAGGGGGTGTGCCGCACCCCATTAACTATATCAAAAAAACATTTTTAGCAAACCTTGTTTATATGGATCGATAGCCTAGATCTCCTAGTTTTCACATGAGTGATTTGAGCCTGATTCGTTTTCTTTGCTCCGAGTAATAATTGGTGAAAGCACAGCAATCAAAAGCGAAAAATGGGAAAAACGAAATGTTGGTTGGCTTCTAATTCCACAGTTTGGAGGTCTCTGAAGCGGGATTCCTGAGATGGACAAGGAGTAGTGCTTTGTTTTGAGTGCAAAAACGGATAGCTAATTCACCTTTGAAACAAAGTTGACCATGTTGGAATTTGACCATTTCACTTAGGTAGCCTAGTATCTTGAATTTTCAGAATTCGCTCACACTTTGTCTACAGGGGTTATTTGACATGCTGATTATGGATATGTTGCCCATTATGTTTGACAAGGCCTTTAAGTAATGCTATCTCAAGTGTATAGTTTAGGGGGGGGGGGAGTCTTATTAAGACAGCAATCAGGGGGGGGGGGGTCGTAACCAGCGATCGTGTGCCACATCCCTTGCTTGACCCTGGTGACCACCGACTTCTGACCACCTCCTTAGCATACTCTGGCTGCTCAATAATTCATAATGCTTGTTTCGCATAATCATTTGGGTTATCTGACATACTGTCAACAAATATCTCGTTTTTAACTGTTGCTAACTTCACTTCCTGTCACTTCACTTCAAACTCTCCCCTCTCCGTATCCCTCGATACGAATCCTCAGAGTTGGCATGCCACCCACGCTTGACTCTCGACGTAACTTGTCGACACTCGCCTGTACAGTATTTGCTAGAATAGAAGGGGAAATTTTTACAATACTCAAGTGTAAATTACTCAAGTGTAAATGCGTGACCATAACGTCCTTATTCATAACAATAATTGACTATCAATTCTGAATAGCTAAGGCAACAGAGAATATGACCTCATAAATTGAGTGTGCACTGATCACTGCTTTTCCTTGCCAACCTTAGCACATCAATCTAATGTCTTAGCAAAACAGGTGGTTAATAAAGAAAAGAAAGGAAGTGGCCAATTCAGACAAGCTGCACACCATTAACTGCAGCATAAATCGCTGACTTCAACTCTATATTCCATATTTGCTTAGCGCATTGTTGCCGAAGTTATAAGCTTGAAGGCCATAATTTGCTAAAAAAATAATGCATGCAATTCGCAAGTTTGGCAGTACGAAGCCATGTTCGGTTTAATGATGGGCCAAATCATGCAGCTAGGTTACGTATAACGTATATAACGTCCCTATTCATAACAATAATTGACTATCAATTCTGAATAGCTAAGGCAACAGAGAATATGACCTCATAAATTGAGTGTGCACTGATCACTGCTTTTCCTTGCCAACCTTAGCACATCAATCTAATGTCTTAGCAAAACAGGTGGTTAAAGGCAGCGTCCCACCAGACTGGGGGTACCTGGCTCTCGTAATGATGTAATAGTAGACCCCCTACTTAAGCGATGACTGAAGTTCGGAGCGAAAAAGGGGGTCTACCTAGCCTGAAATTTGCTCCGAAAGTGGGCCGAATCTTAGGTAGGATCGGGCGAGTGCGAGGTGCACGCAAGGTAGAGACGCAGAGTTGCTGCGGGTCCCTGCACTCATGATATGTGCGCTACACGCACTCTGGCCCTGCGAATCGATATTGCCATGTGGGCGGCGTTCGGCCCTACCGTAAGATTCGGCCCACTTTCGGAGCAAATTTCAGGCTCGGTAGACCCCCTTTTTCGCTTCGAACTTCAGTCTTCGCTTAGATAGGGGTCTACTATCACATCATTACGAGAGCCAGATACCCCCAGTTTTGGTGGGACGCTGCCTTTAAGTGGCCTTCGGCGAACTACGAGCAAAACGCACGACTGACTACCATCGGCTCAAAATGCAGTTGAAACATACCTGCCTAAAACGCATCCTTCAAAATTAATCTGCCTACTCCAATAGCCACTTTCATGTTAAGAGTACCATAGCAGCACAATGACGATTGCCTCGACAGTATGTTGCTGAAGTGCGCAATTTATGGCTCATTGATTTTCTTGAATGTACAAGATAAATCTGCCCGGAAAATGGTTTGGGTTAGGTCAAAAAAGTGCCAACAACTTCTAACAATAATTTCTGAAGTTACTGCATCGTGAGTTTTTTGTCATTGTCTCAAATGCAATACCAGACTATGCTACAGCTGCTTTTAATGCAATGACACCATTTTTGCTTGAGGTGCTTCCTCTAACTACTTAAGTGTTCTTCCCACAGCTCTGATCAGGATTTGGTAGCATTTGTCTGCTTGAGCCTGTGCAGCCCAGCTGATGAAAACTGGTATAATTCTCCGTTGCTCGCCTTCACTCTGCATTATTGGGCTCATTCGCACGTCAAGACCGTATGTCGCTGGAACATCTGCTCGTGCTTTTCTTTCAATAATGATTCAAGAAATAAAACAATAACACCCACTTTAGCTCCTGGTTCCCAGCCTTACTCGTATTTATTATCTGTGGTGTCACATCCCAACAGTTCTGTGATGAAAACAATCCGCGAGTTGGAAACACACCGGACTACAATAAACTTGCACAGCTACTCAGGGAACGCATGGATGATGAGGTGAAATTATTTTTCTAATTGAAAATAGTGAAATCCGCACTCTACTTTGAAGTTCTGTTTTCTTCAAACTAGCTTACAAGCTGCAGTAAGCTCTCGTTTCATTTTCTTTCCCGGCCTACGGACCGTAGCATGTTTCTCGGTATTGTGCTGTGAATAGTATTAGGTTGTCCGAAAATAATGTCGCATCGTAGCGAGGGAGTTTCATTTGATAGAGCAAAGCAAGCTCTACAAGGTCGTTTACAAATCTCCTCAGAAATCTTTCTCCATCTGTAGTTCGAATCCAAAATATAAAAAATTTCGGTACTTTTCCGTTATCCGGACTCATTTTTTCAAAAGGCTCTCAAATTACACATTCTTCAGTGTAAAAATAATTTTCCATAGAATCTACGAGGACTGCCCCCTTACACGTGTCACGAAAAAATTGACACGTTTGGGTCCATTTGACAAGTATTTTTTTCGAAATCATTTCCGGAGAGATAAAAGAGAATTCGTAATCATTTCGAAGCTGTTTAACTGTTTTACATGAGCGCAAAACAATCATGAACTTATTCTAAAACATCTTGCTTGCTTTCAGCAGTGATTAAGAAGTGAATTTCTCTTCAGAGCTTCTTCGTCATGCGAATTTGGCCGAAAAAAAACTATAAATGATAGCTTGAAGTACTTTGCGCTGCTTATTTTGCCTCTTAAATGACGGAATTTTAGCGCACTTCTCTAACCGGAGCAAGTCTAATCTGTTCATCGATGATAGTATGCCATTATTATCATGAAAATGTTCACTTTCAGAAAAAAATGTTTGGTCGAAATGAGGCCTAAATTAACTAAAAAACAGATTGAACTTACCTCGCTTAGGTAGGATAACACAAAATCGTGGTAAAACCTGTTAAACATGTAGATTACATATCAAATTTTTTTGACACGTGGCACAGGGTTGACACCTCTCCCTGTGAAGCTGGGACAAAATATGGAACAAGGATAAAAACAAAATCTTTCTTTGAAAAAATGGGTCCGGATCGGAAAAGTACCAAAAATTCAAATACCCAAAAAATTGTATCTTCTTTCATAGACGTCTCAGGGATCTCCAAATTACGCAGGCATGTACTCTCCATACGAGACATCCACCTGCATAGTTTGTGCTGGAAATTCATGGTTGTACTCCTAGAGGTTCATACTACAAAATCACCCATGTGAGAGAAGTTCATATTGCTCTGGCAAAAATATGCCGAATTTCTCAGTTCTCAGCCATGAAAAACCGCGAGGTTGTGCGTAAGAGTGTCTCGTATAGTGAGTCCATGCGTGAGCAAGTTTGCAAGGGGTCCCAAGACTTTTCTGAACGGAGGTACGATTTTTTTCGTTTTTTAAGTCTTTAATGCCTTATGAAATTTGGCTCCAAACTTCACGCAAATCAAACCTGGCTCGAAAGATCAAATGTAGAGCTTGCTCTGATCTATCGGTGGATATCCCACTTGCTTACTTTCGGGCGCACGATGCTGTGATATTGCATGATAAAACACGATGCGACATTTTCCGTACAACCTAATATAATGTACATACTAAAACATTTCGAGAAAAGTCCTAACTTGAAAGAAATTTACACAAACGCATAAGAAAATAGAAGATATATTGCAGAACATCTTCGAAGGAGAAATAGGTGTTTCCTCTGGAAGTTCCCGTCAATTTCGTGCTTTGAGTTTTTTTTTTGACACCATCGTCATTGACTACATCTTATATATAAAGCTGAATGTCTGTTTGTATGTCTGTCTGTCTGTATGTCTGTCTGTCTGTATGTCTGTCTGTACGTATGTTCCGAATAGAAAATTCCATTTCTGAACCGATCCGGACCAAACTTGGCACACATACACTACGGGCCCCGGCGGGTGTCATAGGCTACTTTTCGTCATCGATCGATATCGATTTTATCGATTTTTATCGATTTTTTTGCTGAGTTCACCTACGGGGCTGGGAGTTTGCACAGGGGGGTAATCGAGCATGGGGATTCCGAATACAATATTGGTTTTCAGGATTATCGATTACTTTTATCGATTTCATCGATTTTTTTGCAAAGTTTGAGCTACGGGGCTGGGAGTTGGCACAGGGGGGTAATCGAGCATGGGGATTCCGAATACAATATTGGTTTTCGGGATTATCGATTACTTTTATCGATTTTATCGATTTTTTGCAAAGTTTGAGCTAGGGGGCTGGGAGTTGGCACAGGGGGGTAATCGAGCATGGGGATTCCGAATACAATATTGGTTTTCAGGATTATCGATTACTTTTATCGATTTTATCGATTTTTTGCAAAGTTTGAGCTAGGGGGCTGGGAGTTGGCACAGGGGGGTAATCGAGCATGGGGATTCCGAATACAATATTGGTTTTCGGGATTATCGATTACTTTTATCGATTTTATCGATTTTTTTGCAAAGTTTGAGCTAGGGGGCTGGGAGTTGGCACAGGGGGGTAATCGAGCATGCTGATCATCCCCAAGGGGGGTAATCAGCATGCTCGATTACGCCCCTGTGCCAAATTCCAGCCCCCTAGCTCAAATTTTCAAAAAATCGATAAAATCGATAGAAGTAATGGACGATCCTGAAAACTAATATTGTGTTCGTAATCAGCATGCTCGATTACCCCCTGTGCAAAATCCCAGCCCCGTAGCTCAAACTTTACAAAAAAAATCGGTAAAATCGATAAAAGTAATGGACGATCCTGAAAACTAATATTGTGTTCGTAATCAGCATGCTCGATTACCCCCCTGTGCAAAATCCCAGCCCCGTAGCTCAAACTTTACAAAAAAAATCGGTAAAATCGATAAAAGTAATGGACGATCCTGAAAACTAATATTGTGTTCGTAATCAGCATGCTCGATTACCCCCCTGTGCAAAATCCCAGCCTCGCATGTCAAACTTTGCAAAAAAATCGATAAAATCAATAAAAGTAATCGATGATTCTGAAAACTAATATTGTATTCGGAATCCCCATGCTCACTTCCCCCCCTGTGCCAACTCCTAGCCCTGTAGGTGAACTCTGCAAAAAAATCGATAAAAATCGGTGAAATCGACATCGATCGATAACGAAAAGTGGACTGTGACACCCGCCGGGGCCCGAAGTGTATGTGTGCCAAGTTTGGTCCGGATACGGCGGAGCCGGGTAAGCCAGCTAGTAATTGATAAAGTGCTTATCTAGCATGATTCCACTGAAGCTGTGCTTGCCACCTAGTCATCTTTAACAACCAGTATAAACGCTCATTTAACCCGCGCTTCTCGCACGTGATGTAAGAGCAGTATATCGAAGAGCTAGCATGATGTAAACGCACAAGCTTAAAGTTTTTGAGTTTTCAATCCTATCTAGTGCATAAGCAAAGTTGCGTAAAATGTAGGAACACTTAGGAATGGTTTATTGCAATGAGAAGTGATAGTAACCTTTTTATTGAATCGAGTTAGTTTTTAAGGTACACCCATGCGATGATTTTTATCAGTTCGCATGCGGTAGGTTCAGCCGCAAGGCAACAAAGGAGGACGATTTGAGAAGAAAGCTTAAAACAGCAGCAAGAGAAACTCACAAGGGTAATATACTTTCTTCAAAAACTTGCGTTAGCGATACTAAAAGAATAACAAGTTGGAAACGTGAATATTTATTCAGGTCTCTCGTAGCAGAATCATGACTAGCACCAAACTGCTTCATAGGAGTGCAGCAGACAGAATAGATCTCGCAGTCGTTGCACCGTTTGCTACATTACCCAGCGCGTCCGCTACCATGGTATTCATGGCCAAACCAAGTCGCTTTTCACCACTTGCTTAGCAAACAGGATCTTTGATGGCTCGCATATCCAAAAGAAAGACCAGTGAAATCCATTGGACTCCGCGTTAGTTCATGGCAGGGCTGACTCACTTAGCAAACAACTTCTGGCTATGCGTCTTTATGGCTCTATCGATACAACAACGACTTCGCGAGAATAATCACTACAGTATCAAGGCAGCACTTCACTGCTTATTCATCTGCTCTCCCTTTTTTCTTGCTGCCCTATGAGAACGCAGCAGATTAGACATCATACATACAATTTTCAGCTATGCGATCGAGTCTACAGGGTGTCCCAAAAGTATGTATCGAACGTTTGATCGTTAATATCTCTCTTTCCAAGAAGTCTTTTGCCTTGCTTCAAGTACCATTTTGTAGAGCTAGCTTCAACTTAGATTTGCATTATAGAACGAATCACTCATTCCTCTTCATTACTGTAGGATTACGGTAGAAACTTCAAAGAGGGTTTTAAGCAATGAAAGGCCATATTTTGCCTTAGAAAGGAAATAAAACAGCCTGAAAGTTTTCACACCAGGCCAATTAGAGTTGCTGATTATAACTGTAAAGTTCCCAACCTATTATGATGCTTCATTGAGGAGTTATGCCAGGTAAGAGGTAGCGGCCATTTTTCCAATGTTCCTAAAAAGTGCGGTTGCACCGTTTAGAAAGCTTTGTAATCTTGTGAATAGTTGAGTATTGAACTCAGCATCCATAAAAACCCTATTACACAAGTTTTCACAATTTTTTGAAGAATTTTGGAACTGCAGCTTTTTCCACATTGACACCATATGTTTCAAGTTTCTACCGTAATCCTACAGTAATGAAGAGAGATGGGTGATTCGTTCTTTAATGCAAATCTAAGTTGAAGCCAGCTCTACAAAATGGTACTTGAAGCAAGGCAAAAGACTTCTTGGGAAGAGAGATATTAACGATCAAATGTTCGATACATACTTTTGGGACACCCTGTATATAGGGTACAATCAATTGAGCGACAGAGTGAGTGAACTATTTTTGCTCACACCTTACTAGACGGTCGAGTCTATAGGACTGGCAATGCGCAACTGCGCACTTGTGGTCGTGAAATATATAGGGTACAATTAATTGAGCGACAAAGTGGGTGAACTATTTTTGCTCACACTTTATTAGACGAAATGGTGTTTGAGCAAAGTCGCTAACCACGGGATTTCACTGAGGAAGTAAATTGAACGAAGAAGAGACAATTCCGACTCAGAGAATTCACCGGAACTTTCGCAGGACAAGCAGATTGCAGCGTTTCCGCAGCACTTTCTTAACCATTGAGAAAGTGTATGCTCCAAATTGCGAGGTTTCCGCAGGAAATTGACGTCACAGCGATCGTGAACCGGAACTTCCGCAGCACTTTCCATAAAGTGCTGCGAAAATGCGATGAGGCTCGTAAGGTTTCCGCAGCACTTTGACCTGCCAGCATTTTCGCAGGATTTTGAGAGGGCATTACTTGCGATTGCGAAATAGCGAACGCATCATCAACAGCGCATAGCGCACTCTTTTCTTCCATACTGTTTCGCTTCTGTTCCTCCTCTTTTCTTTCTCTTTTTTCTTTCTTTCTTCAACGTTGGCGTAAGTAAACCTATACTCATCCATATTCTAAGTATTCTTTCAGGCATCGGTGCAGATGTGTGAACAACCATCACCAAGTTGCTGGAGTGCTGGAAAAGGACCTAACGGAGGGACTTCATCTAAGCACAACGCCTTTGTTTAGGTATTTCGAACTTCTTTGCTTTATGTGCGATAAAAATAATAACGCAAGTAATTTAAAACAGTCACTTTGTAGAAAATATGCACTGGATCTAAATAAAGCAGAAGTGATTGGATAGAAATATACAAAAGAAAGAAGGGGGGGGGGAGAATAATGGGTCACCGAAATTTCCAAAGTGATCTACAAGCTCTTGGTGAATATTGAAATATTTTCAAAAATTTTCAGATCCAAAGTATTAGGTGAAACCATAATACGTTTGCCAGTTTTTAAAAAATCATAACTTTTTCGACTCGATGGATCTCTTTGCGTTTATACTCATCTAAGAAAGGAAATAATTCGCTTTACAGCAGTACTTTTGCCATGAATTGGCATAGAAAAGTTCGAAAGTTAGAAGCAATTGAAGAAAATTACTCAAAATTGGCATTTTCCAATCAGGGTCATCAAAAAATTCTGAAAGTATTTTTGGGTGGAGGACATTAGGTCGCCGAAAGAGGGCGGCCCCCGCGGTCATTTGCGACAAATACGCACCCTTGTACATGCGCGGACATGCGTTCCTGCAGGGAATCCGCGCGGGACTCTTCCAAATTCGGCGACCTAATGTCCTCCACCCAGTATTTTTCGATAGAGAAAGCTATGCTCTTTGCTATAGTGCCTTTTCCAAAAACAAAAAAGATTGAGAATTAGAAGCAAATAAAGAGAATCACTCCAGTATTGCGTCGGGAGGAACGGGAAAATCATGTGAACATGGGTTTAGTGACCTTCTCTTTTTAGGTGAGAAGAAATTCGTGCCAATCGAGAGCAATTTTGATTTTCGTAATATTACCGAGTTTTCGGTTCTGGTTTTCAAAAAAAAAAATCAAAATTGCTTCCGATTGGCACGAATTTCTCTCAGATAGAAGGAGGTCACAAAATCCATGCTCATAAATATCCCATCTTTTTTGTGACGTTTTGGACATTTTTGAGCATGCTCAAAAAATGCAAAACTAGATAATTTTCTTTATTTGCTTTTAAATCTTTTTTGTTTTTGGAAAAGACACTATAGTAAAGAAGATAATTTTTTCTATCGAAAAATACTTCCAGAATCTTTTGGTGACCCTGCTTGAAAAATCCAATCTTGAGTAATTTTCTTCAATTGCTTCTAACTTTCGAACCTTTTATGCCAATTCATGGCAAAAGTCTGCTGTAAAGAGAATGATTTTCTCTCTTACAAGGGAAGGATACTCGGTCGAAGTGGCCATTTGGAATGAGCTGTATATTAGGAAACCGTCCTCCGTAAGGCAAACTCAAAACTACTTTCGCTAGGTGCCGAGCGGTTTTGTGGGGGAAATTACAGGTCCATTTTCTTCCGACGCAGCCAGCGCACCCAGTGATGAGCGAGGCGCTAGAATAACGCAGCAGTGTGGCAGTGGCGCAGTGACAACGCAGCGGACTACGAAGCAGATGGTCGAGGGTTCGAGTCCTGTTGCTGCTACTCTGTTTTGCAGTTCTGTAAAAAGTCTATTGGGTGACAGCAAACGAGAAATACTACTTCTAGGCAGTCGAAACAAGCTAGTTACTGCAAAAAAGCCACTATTTCTGCAATAAGCTATAATCTTACAAAATATGTAAATCTGTGGAGGTTATGATGCCACACAATGGGTTCAAATGATATATTAACATGTATGGAATACAACCACAAAATGCTCAAAGCAGAAGAGCTTCTCGCAACGCGCGCACTTGCAAAATTGCAATCGATTCACATCCCATTTATTGGCTCTTGATCTGAACTTTACTTTGCATCATAGGGATACCATCCTTAAGATCTTATCGCTCATTTACACACAATTTTGCTCGCCGCGATTCAAAAATTTGCCTTCATACCCATGGATGCAGCCGGATACATTGACAACCACCCCGGCGAATTCGAGTCTCCTATTCAGTACTGTTTTTCACCGATTTTGATAGGCAATTGCGAAGCTGCTGATTGTCATCGTTTTATTTTATCCGATGTGCGCGTTGCGAGAAGCTCTTCTGCTTTGAGCATTTTGTGGTTGTATTCCATACAAATTAATATATCACTTGAATCCATTGTTGTGACATCATAACAGATACATATTGTAGAAGATTATAGCTTATTATAGAAATAGTGACTTTTTTGCAGTAAATAGCTTGTTTCAATTGCCTAGAAATGATACTTTTCGTTTACTGTCACCCAATAGACTTTTTACAGAACTGCAAAACAAAATAGCAGCAACGGAACTCGAACCCTCGACCATCTGCTTCTTACAAGGGAAGGATACTTGGTCGAAGTGGCCATTTGGAATGAGCTGTATATTAGGAAACCGTCCTCCGTAAGTCAAACTCAAAACTACTTTCGCTAGGTGCCGAGCGGTTTTGTGGGGGGAGTTACAAGGCCATTTTCCTCCGGCGCAGCTGGTGCACCCAGTGATGGGCGAGGCGCTAGAGTGACGCAGCAGTGTGGGAGTGGCGCAGTGGCAACGCAGTGGACTACGAAGCAGATGGTCGAGGGTTCGAGTCCTGTTGCTGCTATTTTGTTTTGCAGTTCTGTAAAAAGTCTATTGGGTGACAGTAAACGAGAAATACTATTTCTAGGCAGTCGAAACAAGCTAGTTACTGCAAAAAAAAGCCACTATTTCTGCAATAAGCTATAATCTTCTAAAATATGTAAATCTGTGGAGGTTATGATGTCACAACAAGGGATTCAAGTGATATATTAACATGTATGGAATACAACCACAACATGCTCAAAGTAGAAGAGCTTCTCGCAGCGCGCACTTGCAAAATTGCAATCGATTCACATCCCATTTATTGGCTCTTGATCTGAACTTTACCTTGCAGTATAGGGATTCCATCTTTAAGATCTTATCGCTCATTTACACACAATTTTGCTCGCCGCGATTCAAAAATTTGCTTTCATACCCATGGATGCAGCCGGATACATTGACAACCACCCCGGCGAATTCGAGTCTCCTATTCAGTACTGCTTTTCACCGATTTGATAGGCAATTGTGAAGCTGCTGATTGTCATCGTTT